AAGGGGGGGAGAGAGAGAGAGAGAGAGAGAGAGAGAGAGCACGCACGAACAACTCCCAGTGGAATATGGTCATGTCAAAATCCTTATTCCTCCATTTCTCCCCCTGTTCAGGGTTTGAGGCCCGTACACACACCCACCTGGCATGTTTTTCAAACTGCCAGGGCCAGGATTCAAACTGCAGTTGACCCTGTGGGCTCTGGCCCTAACACAAGGCACTTTACCCCTGTACCACAGAACTAGCCCGCAACTTCTCATTTCAAAGGGAAAACAAATGTGAGGAAAACTAAAAAGATTCCTTAAATTATTTAAAATATAGATAAACACAAACTTGCAATTTGCTTCTTTCCCCTTGAAAATACAGATTTCAGGCCCAGCCTCTGTGGCAGAGTCAGTAATTGACCAAACTCCATTGCTAGAAGCCACATGGCCAGCTGCAGGTTCTGACCCCACTAGGTGGAACACACTGATCATGCCCAAGACCCCAACAAGCTGGAGGTCTGTGGAAAGGGGACTGCGATGGGACCAGACCCTGCCGATGCTCTTCTCCCTCTCTCATTCTCTCTCTCTCATAGGATATGCATATGCTTTCTATCATGAATAAAATCAATAAGAAAACACAAATTTCAAATATGTTAAGGGAAATGTATGTACTAAAGAAAGCCTTTCTGAATATGCATGCTTCTGAAATAGAAAACTATGATGTCCATTGGGGGAAAAATCCAATTTTTAATCTCTCCTTTGCCTTGTTGGATATCCTGGTTATATTTAGGGTTAGCAATAAACATAGTATGTTAGCCACCTGGAAAGTATAAAACTTCAAGTCTTAAGGGAAGATAAACTATTTCAGTGTGAACCAATTGTACTGCTAAAACATTCCTGTACTTCTTTCACTGTGTGTATGGAAACACACCCACACACACACTTTATTTACTGTTTGATTGTTGTCATTTCTTGGCCTCTTGCAGGTTGATGGGACCGAAGTAGCATGCCAGGTTGCTTCATCTCAGACGTCTGTGGCCTGTGGTGTAGGCTACCCTGCTTTAAAGCAAGAACAACAGGTACAAGTTTCATTTCATCATCCTCACATTCCAGCTAGCCCCTCCTCAGCACTCAGGCTCATGGGCCAACGTAACATCATTTTATTAGGTGTCCTCATTTGATAGACATCATAAAACAACTGGCTGTATACTTCAAGAAAATTTTATAATATGTATTTTTTCTTTAATACCAAATGTGGGGTTTTCCATGTAATTCATTCCAAATGCACACACACTATGGAGAGTTCTTTTTGCCTGCGTGTGTTAGTCAAAGTGCTGTGCAGAGAGCCATGAGAGCATCTGGTAGGCAAGCTGCACATCTGCACAAAGCTTTCCAATCCAGACAAGTTTACAAGGAGTCTTCAGAAGGTTCATGGAAAATGCATATTATGAATAAAACTATGCATGAATTTGAAAAAAAAATGCACCAAAATAAACTCATAGTAAAGCTAGATGGACAAATAAGTAGAGATATTTTATACATTTAAAATCTTAAGGTATATAAAATCAGAATTAAGTTGGAGTGAGTTTGCTTTTAGAGGAAACTTTTTTTGTCTGAATATAAAGTTTCGTAGGTTGATAACTTTTAATTTTGTGTATAGGTGACTTTTACTATTAACTTCGACTTCAATCTTCAAAATCTTCAGAATCAGGCATCTGTCAGTTTCCAAGCCTTAAGGTAAAGCAAAATAAGGTCATGAACTGATAATTACGAATGACTCTTATAATATTTCCCTAAGTAATTTCCCAATGTTCGCCTCAATAGTGAAAGCCAAGAAGAAAACGAGGCAGATAATTTGGTCAACTTCAAAATCCCTCTACTGTATGATGCTGAAATTCACATAACAAGGTGAGCAAAACGGAGGGGTTGGGGGGGAGGTGGGAGACTATTAGCATTGGCCCCACTCTCGTTTATAACACATTTGGCTCATGCTTAAAGAAGTCCTCTTGGGGCCAGCAGATGGCATAGTAGTTATGCTGCTGGACTCCCAACGTGGCTGACTGTGGTTTGGGTCTTGGACCCAGTAGCTTGAAAACCACTTGGTTTGGGTCTTGGACCCAGTAGCTTGAAAATCACTTCAGGTACATATGTGTGCATGCCCAAGATCCCAGGAAGAGAATGGAGGGGATGGGATTGTGACATAGCCATTTCCCCTGTAGGTGATTTCTCACTTGCTTTCTCATCATTGTCTCTGTCTCGCTCACCAGCGAGTGCACATGCCCTATGCCAAAAACCTCTTTAAAAAAGTCCTCTATATGCTCATTCTTTTTTTTTTTTTTTTTTTTTTTTAGTTTACTTATTTATTTCTTGAGAAAGAAAGAGATGGCAAGACAGAGAGGGGCCCTTGACAGAGTATTGCCATATCGCAGTCTCCCACCCATCCTCCCAGACAGCCTAGATCATGGGGCCCCGCAACCATACCTGGCTGTGTCGATGTAGGACCCAAACCCAGGCAAAATGTGTGACTCTGCTATTGTGCAGCAGCATCCTACCATGTGCGCCACCACGGCTGGGCCATAAGGGAGCACATCAAAAAGTCGATGAACAAATGTAATTAAAGTACATATATATTTGGTGCAAAAAATAAATTGAAATCCATGCGGAGTTTTTTCATAATACATATTTTCCATGTACTTTTGAAGACCACTTGTATATGTGTATTCTTATCTGAAGAATTTGAATTAAAATATTTTGGGACCAGCAGTTAGTGTAATGGCTATGTCGCTGGATTCCCATGTAGTCGACTGCGGTTCGAGTTCCGGACCTGGTGGCTTAAACTTATGCTGGGCGCGTGTGCGTGCATGCCCAAGATCCCGAGAAGAGAATGGAGGAGAAGGGATTGCGGTGTGGCCATCCCCCCTGGGGGGTGATTTCTCGCTTTCTGTCTCTCTGTCTCTCTTTGTCTGTCTGGCGAGTGCACACGCTCTATAGTAAAAACCTCTCCAAAAATATATATATATTTTTTTCCATTTGTCAACTATTTTTAAAAAATAATTTTTTAATTAATTTGTAATTTTATTAACAAATTGGCCCTTAGCAAAACCTTGAGTGACTCTTTAGTTTTATTGACTGGAAGCAGTACCAGAAAGGCAGAGGAATAACCCTTTTTCCACATGTCATTGGGAAACTCCTCTACACGCCCTCAGAGAAGCTGCAAACCTCCCTAAAATGTTGCAACAGAACACTTAATGTGTCCTGACAGTTGCCAGTACTTTCTTGCTGCCAAATTCCTGCTATCCAAGTGAGATCTCAAGTAATATTCCTATTCCTGGACATGAAGCCCTAAGCACAATGTTTGGCACATAGTAGGTCCACAGCAAATATTGAATGTGGTCACAGATTGAATAGTCAGATACTGAAACTAGATTGAGTCTAGTTGCTGGGTGGAAAATCCTTGATAAAACAGATTAGGGCTTTTTTCCAACCAGAAGGAAATGACAAATTTTCCAAAGGAAGTCATCCATGACAAAATAGTTTATTCCCTTTACTTGCTTGCTCAAAGCAAATAACCCTGAAAACAGTGGCTAAAATGGGACCAGCAGTTAGCGTAATGGCTATGTCGCTGGACTCCCATGTTGTCGACCGCAGTTTGAGTCCCAGACCCAGTGGCTTAAACTCACACCAGGTGCGTGTGGGTGGGGGCTCAAGAGCCCAAGAGGAGAAGAGATTGTGTTGTGGCCATCCCCCCTGGGGGGTGATTTCTCGCTTTCTGTCTCTCTCTGTCTTTCTGGCAAGTGCACACACCCTATAGCAAAAACCTCTCCAAAATAAATAAATAATAAAATAAATAAAATATTACTACTTGATACCAGTTATCTTTTTGTTTTGTTTTTAGAGAGAGATTTTTTTCTATAGGGTACATGCACTTCCCAGAAACACAGAGACAGAGAAACAAAGCAAGAAATCACCCCCCAGTGGGGATAGCCACTCTGCAATTCCTTTTCCTCCATCCCCTTCTCAGGATCTTGGGCACACACTCAAATGTACCTGGTATGATTTTTAAGGCGTCGGGTCTGGGATTTGAATCTTGGTTGGTTACGTGGGAGGCCAGCAACATAACCAATACACCATCTGCTGGTCCTGCTACTAGCTATCTTGAATTGTCAGAGGGATAGGTGTCTTGGGATATAAGTAATGTATGAACACCACCGGTGCTAGTAGGTTGGTAGCACCTTCAGTTATATGAAGTGAGGCAGGTTCACAACACAGACACTGGAGCACAGAGCACAGCTATGCTGGTGCAGGAGATGCCCACCCCAAGCCAGGGCACCAGAAATTTCTACCTGGTGAAGGAACAAGGCAGCTTCCCAGCACAAATCTCTCACCCCTGAAAGGCAGCAGAGTTTTCTGAAGAAGTCTAGAGACTTCTCTTACTCCCACCACATCATCCCAGCCCCTGAAAGCAAGGGATTTGCAGATCATCTAATAGATCACTGAACAAAAACAAAAAGGAACTTATGTCATCATGTCTAGAGCTTGAGACGCATGAGCAAAGATGAAAAGAATGTTTTTGTATCAAGTGAGTTACAAACAGCACACACACAGAAACAAAATACAGTGCAAGCCATCCATCCCTGAAAAACTCATTAGTACCTGCAGACTACCAAGGCCCCCAGTTGCTAAAATAAGTAACTGAAGACAAAGTCAACCAAAAAGATTGAGATGGTCACATTACCTGAAATCTTTTCTTCTTACATTAATTCTTTCTTCTTCTAAACATTTTTTCTGTTAATATAGCCTTTTTAAAAAATCATCCACACTCCCACTGCACCCATTTTTTTCAGGTATTTTAACATGATATAAATATAAGGTTGAAATGGGACTTTACTTTTACTAATTAACATGTGAACTATTTTTTATTATGGTAATGTGGATTCTAATATATTCTGGTTTTCTTTAAATTATATCTTATAGTTTAACAAAATTAACATGGGGGGCCAGCAGGTGGCATGGTGCTTAAGGCACTGAACTCCAACATTACCAACCACCATGGTTTGAGTCCTGGACCTGGAAGCTTGAAAAATCACACTGGGCACATGTGTGTTCATGCCCACATGAGAGAAAAATGGAGGAGAAGGGATTGCAGTGTGGCCATTGTCCCTGCGGGGTGATTTCTCACTTCCCTTCTCACTGCTTCTCTTTTTCTCTCTCCTTCTGCAAGCACAACACACCTTATGGCCAAAAGCTTAAATTAAAAAAATTAACACGGGAAATTATAAAGAACGAAAGTTAAAATGGGTCCTAATCCTACCACCCCCAAAGATCCAAATGTCATAGAAAGATGCACAAGGAAGAGTAAAGTCATCTCTTCCGACCTTCCCTGGTGCCACTCTCCAAGGAAGACTAACTAGACAGTTTTCAGAATACCTTCCACACATAGGGTCTGCTTATCTACCAAGCTATATGCATGTAGCACACACATGCACATACGTACATGTGCACACACATTTTATTTACCTAGAAAGAGTGATAAAACACTCTTCTGTACCTTGTTTTTTATGTCATCTTAACCTGTACCATATCAGGACATCCAGATTAAATTTACTCTCTTCCTTGCTAGATCATAATATAGGAAACCAATCCAGTGTTTAAGAGCTATTTTGTTATTTTGCATTTCTGTTTTGTTTCATTACAGAAAATGCTGCAGGAAAAAAAAAAGTAAAGAGTTCTTTCAACAAACATCTTAGCAAACTTTTGAGAAGAAATCTTACCTAATTATTAAATATATCCCTTAGCAACCTCTTCAATCTTATATCGACCTTCAGTGATACTGTGCACGTAGGATAGGCTAGAACAGGTAGTGACAATAGTATTATTTCTGAAACCGAACCCCCTGAGTATAGCTAACTGCCAATATAAATACACTGATCCACACTTAAGTAACTTAAAGAACACTTAAGAAACAAATGGGAAAATGTCAGATCTCTTTAAAATGCAAAAGCAGAACATTAATTAATTTAGAAACTGGCTCTCTTGAGAGGCTTGCACAAAGATTTTCTGGAAGGCAAAGGAAATAACTCATGCTCACACGGCAGGTTTTCTGTGTCAGGGTTCCTAGTCAGTTTTCCCATTTTCCATGTAAGGGTGACCTATCATTTCCTCTCATATATCTAACCTTGACAAATGCTACATCTATTAAGGTCTCAGATTTTCCTTCTGAGAGTTTGGAAAAATTTTGTGAAGTATTAAAAAAGAGAAACACAGGGTTTCAGTAAAACACACACACACACACACACACACACACACACTCCATTTCAGAAAATATCTAGCCCAATATGAGGCAGGGGGTGGAATTGAATCAATATCCACTAATTAAAATAAATTGTCCAGTGAGAATAATGGAGATATACATAGTGTTTCTGCTATTCTACCCTCATCTCCTAAGCCCCACCCAAAGAAGCTACCCTGGGTGGAATCCAGCTTCAGAGACTCAGAAATGAGTGAGGAGAGGGGAGGTCTCCACTTTCACAGTCTTATGGGGGTTCTTCTGACTTAGTCATTCCTTTGCTTGCAGACACTAGGTAGAAATACCAAGGAAAGGGGTCAAGATCAGTCTGATGGTTTTAGGTCTAATCTAATAAAAACTCTGGGCCACTCATCTTAAAGGTGGTCTCTGTATTAATGGTAGAAACCTATTTAATCATCCCCAGATCAGACCCAAATCATTACAGACTTGGCTTAAAACTAAAGAAAGATCAGGAAAAGGAATAATATGGAAAGTCCATGCCTTGTTTCACAGGCATACCATAATGAATACTGCAAACCAACACCCAAAACCTTTTATTGTATTGCAGCCATACCAACTGGAAAACTCCTGGCTCATAAGTTCATTCAACCAGTTGACAACTGAGTGTCCACTGATGAATGTACCTGTCAACGTGCCATCAATCTTTACTAGAGTTCCACTCCATTCTGAAGTAATATTTTGAAACTTGGCCACTGATGAACATGTAAAACCTCAAATCACAGCACAAAGACCATGAAGGAACATGTTTTAGAAACATATATTGGACCACAGTCCTATAACAAGCACTTATTTTCACTAAGTGTTTTCATAACTATTGGGTTGTCAGAAAAGTCATAAAATATTTTTCTGTGTTTTTCTGTGCAAAAATGCATCATGACTTTTCTGACAACCCAATAAAAGTAAACTATTCTACTTCCAATGTAATCTAGAAAATACTTAAGTAAGAGAAATACTAAGCCTCAAGAACAACAATAAAACTAAAATATTTGACTTTTCCAACATCATTCAACAGATCCACCAACATAAACTTTTATGAAGTCTCCTCGGATGGAAATGTTCCTTCTATCGTGCACAATTTTGAAGATATTGGTCCAAAATTTATCTTCTCCCTTAAGGTTGGTAAGCCTGATGTAAGGATGGCAAGTACAGAAGAAAAGAGAAAGAAAAAAATGAATCTTGAAAGAAAAGAAAGTAAAAAGTTTAAATACACCAGTGGTTCTCAAGCTTGAGCAGACTTTCTCATCGCCTGAATAGTTTGTTAGAACACAGAATCCTGGGCTACCCTCCCAGAATTTCTGATTTAGTAGGTCTATACTGGGCCCTGAAAATGTGCATTCCTAACCAGCTTCCACATTAGGCTGATGCTGCTGGTCCAAGTGCCATACTTTGAGAACCACTAGGATAGACCATAGATAAGGAAACAATTGGGCTTTGTGCAGAGTTGTGTCCTGAGTAAAGGATAATTGGCATATTTTGAAGACAAATGCTCAGGACTAATCAAGAGACCATTACCATAATAGTATTGCTGTGGGTAAAAGTTTCTGGAATGTAATTATAATGCCAATTTATCCTTAGAGAATAATTCTGTTTCAGAAGCTTACCATTTGTATACAAAAATACAGTCATGTTAAGTAATATCTAAAAATATGTTAGATCAAATTCAATTGGCTATTAGTAAGCAACTAATAATCTAAATATTGTTATCAGTTATACAAAAAGAAATTAATTTGTGAAAGATTGGCTATTTTCTAACATAATAACATGGAAACTGAAAATTCATCCACCACACTAAGTCAATACTATTTTGTTTTTGTCCATTTCCTACTGGTTCTTTTTACGGTTATACCCCTGCAATTTTGTGATAAAAAAAAAAACAAACGCACAAATCTTTAAAAGAATCTTGATTTGTGATCCAGATGCCACGATTTATATGGATGGATTTTGGTAACTACATTTTTTAAAGGGATAGTTACTCAATCTGTAGTAATAATAAAGTAACATTCATGGAGAGTGTCCTAAGAATCAGCATCGTATGAAGTGCTTCACACGTATTATCCCCATGTAATTCCCAGATCAGTTATGAGATTGTTACTATCATTATTCAGGGGGGTTATTTTAAATGTGTAACAATCAGTAAGGAACGAGTGCCAGCAAATTGGAACAGAAACCCCAGCAGTGAGAACAGATGCTGTACCAGAGCCCTCTAGGAAAGCATGCCTACTGAATTCCTGCTTATCTTTATTGTACAAATGAGAATGCTGAACCCTAGGGAGGTCAAACTCCTTGCCTAATTACACTGCCCATCAGTGGCACTATGGAAGCCCACACCCTGGCAGCCTGACTCCACAAACAGTGTCTTTAACCATTTATACCACCACCTCTCAAGCCACAAATTTTCACCCATTCAAGTTATAGATGTTGAGTTTTTCTCCATTAAGAGGCAGGACACAGAGATCCAAAGTATGACTATAAAGTACCGGTTCACTTTCATACGACTCAGTGTTAGCACTGTGTAGTTGCCCCTCTTCAACACAGGTCCGTTGCTTTCTTTCCTCACATCCATAATCATGTAGCGATTTCGGCATGTTTTCTTCCTATGCAGGTAACAACAGGGAGTGTCCCAATAAGCATGGCATCTGTGATCATCCACATCCCTCAGTACACCAAAGAAAAGAACCCTCTGATGTACCTGACTGGGGTGCACACAGACCAGGTAAGGACAACAAAACTGCCTATTAAACTGTATACCTTCAAGACAGAAAGAACTCAGGAGGTTAGGGCAATCACGCCTGATATTTTATAGATGGAAAACAGAAGATAACCCTTATGTAGCCTGGTGCCCATTAACTAGCAGTTATTAGAAGCAGAATATTATTACAAGGAAGCCAATGCCTAGTCTGGGGATTTGCAGATGGCAGAAATTTGTTTCAAATGCCCTGTTTTGTCCAGATGAAGATGTGACTTTGTCAGGACCCTGTTAAGAGAAAAGACTAGAAAGTGAGAGTTGAGCCTATGATGGGAGCATAGTAGGTCTACAGACTGCAATTAGGAGCTAGTCTGCAAGCAAACAACCTGGACTTTTGCCCAGTAATATTCAACCCTGGATGCTCATATTAAATCAGAGACATGCCCAGACCCACCTTCATCAATGAAATCAGAATCTCTAGGGATAAGGCTCTAACACCAATGTTTTTCTTTATAAGATCCCCAGGTGATTCTCCCATGCAGCCTGGACTGAGAAGACCTGCTCTCGCCCAACGCCTTGACGTAATATTCAACCCTGGATGCTCATATTAAATCAGAGACATGCCCAGACCCACCTTCATCAATGAAATCAGAATCTCTAGGGATAAGGCTCTAACACCAATGTTTTTCTTTATAAGATCCCCAGGTGATTCTCCCATGCAGCCTGAGAAGACCTGCTCTCGCCCATCGCCTTGACAATAGCCCACCCTAGTCTAGCACTTGACTGATCTACAGGGGCATTATTGATTTAGTATACATGGCTGACTACAGGAAATCCCAGTCCTAAAAATGTTCCACAAGAAAAAAAAAATCCCTGAATTAAACCCCTCAGTCTATTGTTACTGCAGATTTGTCTCATCACACATGGGCTATAAAAAGCTAGCCTCGCGGGAACCAGCAGTTAGCGTAATGGCTATGTCGCTGGACTCCCACGTAGTCGACCGCGGTTCGTGTCCCGGACCCGGTGGCTTAAAACTCACGCCGGGCGCGTGTGCGTGTGTGCCCAAGATCCCGAGAGGAGAATGGAGGAGAAGGGATTGCGGCGTGACCATCCCCCCTGGGGGGTGATTTCTCGCTTTCTGTCTCTATGTCTCTGTCTGTCTGGCGAGCGCACGCGCCCTACAGTGAAAATCTCTCAAAAAAAAAAAAAAAAGAAGCTAGCCTCGCTCATCAAGTCACATCAGGAGAATCTGAATCTGTCAGGTTCTACCTCAGTGCTAACAGCAGTGGCCCAGTCAGTCCAGTTGAAAGAAACCTATCAGCCCTTCTCCACCACAGCATGGGATAGCAGAGTCCCCTCTCCTGTTGAAAAGATCATTATAAACCATTTTGCTTCCTCAATTTGATTTGCTGATGTTTTTAATAGGCTGGTGACATCAGTTGCAATGCAGATATAAATCCACTGAAAATAGGACAAACACCTTCTTCTGTGTCTTTCAAGAGTGAAAATTTCCGGCACATAAAAGAATTGGTAAGGATGAGTGAATGTATGAAGGTTTTGTTTGGCAACACGGGGTTTGTTTTGCCTGAAGTCAAGATGCTTCTTTTTTCCTACCAGCTGATCTCCTAGAGCTTTCTTATTGTGTCTTTTTGGGGGCTCATATGAATCAAGAGATAGAAAATACTGGCTCAGATTTAATTATTGGAGGGAACCAGCAGTTAGCGTAATGGCTATGTTGCTGGATTCCCACATAGTCAACCATGGTTCGCGTCCCAGACCTGGTGGCTTAAAACTCACGCCGGGCGTGTGTGTGTGCGTGCCCAAGATCCCGAGAGGAGAATGGAGGAGAAGGGATTGCGGCATGACCATTCCCCCTGGGGGGTGATTTCTCGCTTTCTGTCTCTACGTCTCTCTGTCTGTCTGGCGAGCCCATGCGCCCTATAGCGAAAACCTCTAAAAAAAAAAATTTAATTATTGGAGTTATTACGTGTGCCATTACTCATAAAATACATGTTCCAGGACCAGTCCCATGGCCTAGTAGTTAAGGTAGCCAGATACCACGCGGCTAACCACACAGTTCAAATCTCGGCCCCCGAGCTTGAAAAGAACACCAGGAACACGTGCACGTGTGCTCAAAATCCCCAAAGGAGAGATCAATGGCAAAGGGATTGTGGGGTGACCATGCCCCACTGGGGGTACTTTCTCCCTCTCCCTCTTTGTATTTTCTTCCTCTTCCTCTATTTCTGGCAAACCACGTGCCCCTCTGGCTTATAAACAAAACAAAACAAAAAAATGCTCCAGAGTTTGTAACTTCAAAGGTCTCGGGTGATAGCCCTGTGTTTCTGCATCCTG